TCACCATCATCATCACCATCATCATCACCATCATCATCACCATCGTCGTCATCATCATCATCATCGTCGTCTTGTTGACTTTTATAAAACCATCATTATCATGACCGACATTTTCATCCTCATTTTTATCAATAACAACGACAAAATCATCATCATCACCACCACCACCACCCTACCAATCATCATCACCACCACCACCACCCTACCAATCATCATCACCACCACCACCACCCTACCAATCATCATCACCACCACCACCCTACCAATCATCATCACCACCACCACCACCTGAAGTTAGTGATCTGATACTCGAGCAGCAGCCTCAAGCGCTCCTTCATGTCGAGGAATCGATCCCTCTCCTCGTGCAGCACCGTCCCCATGCCGTCTGGCCTGTGGTGGAGGTGGTGGCGTCGGTGGTGGTGGTGGCGATAGTGGTAATAGTGGTTGTGATTACAACAATGATCATCATAATCATTAACATCATCGGCATATTGGCCACCATCATCATCGTCGTCGTCATAAACAAAACCACCATCATCACCACCATTATCAACATCATCATCACCATCATCACCATCATCATTATCATCATCATCATCACCATCATCACCACCACCATCATCATCACCACCATCATCATCATCACCTGTTCCCGTGCGTATGCGAGGCACAGAAAGCAAAACTGTAATGCATCAACGTTGGGTCGATCATCAATCCTGATGATGATTGATAGGGTGGTGGTGATGATGATGATTGATAGGGTGGTGGTGGTGATGATGATTGATAGGGTGGTGGTGATAATTGATAGGGTGGTGGTGATGATGATGATTGATAGGGTGGTGGTGGTGATAATGATTGATAGGGTGGTGGTGCTGATGATGATGATGCAGATGGAAGTAGTAATAATAACAATGGCCAATGTCATAATGATAATTAGTGATTAGCTTTTTTTTATTATTATTATTCTTTAAAAATCTGGATCTGACAGACCAACAGCATTGCAACAGCATTCATCATAACCAGCTATCATCATCATCATCATCTTCAACATCATCATCATTATCACCACCATCATCACCATAGTCATGTTGGTCACCGAGTTAGCTCAGTCGATAGAAGTTTCATGTCTCGTGATGTCATTACTCGGTGACCTGGTTCGAATACTGTCAGTCCGAAACTCAAAGCTGTTTGCGTGTGTGGTGTGCATGTGGGTCGTGTGGTGGGATGGTGGCACAGCAATTTGTGGCACAAAAGTTTATTATAAAAATGATATGTAAGCGGTTCTGCATTTAACAGAGCTGTATTACAAAAACTAAAATAATATATATTACCACCACCACAACCACTACCACCATCATCACCATCACCATCAACATCACCCTCATCATCAGTAGCAGTACCTTGCTCCGAGTGGTGAAGGAGGTCTGAGAGGTAGGAGAGGTGTCGGTGGCAGCCTCTCACACCGTACCTGGCGCAGTATTCATCCAGGACAAATATTTGACCCGGGTTGAACCATCCCTAATCATCATCATCATCTTTGCATCATTATCATTATTGTTATTATTATTATTATTATTATCATCATTATCATTATTGTTATTATTATTATTATTATTACATTGGATGACCATGAACCTCAGGACCCCCTGCGGGTACCTTCCTTCAGATGTGGGCAGTTCCTAACAGTGCAATTTTTGCACCTCCACCACATCAAGTTTTCCAGGCACCTCTTCTGGATTCTTCTTCAACTCTCCATCCCTACTCCACCCATTGCTCCATCTACCAGAGCTAGATTTTCGAGATTTCACCCCATCATTGAAATCATCATTGAAATTTCAACTTCTAAGTCTCGCTATTACAGATGTTTTTCATTCTTATTTGGCGTAACATTTTCATCTTCTGCTACTGAAGATTCAATCTCAATCAAAATGAATTTTTTTGTATTCTTCTTCCAATAGAGTAGATCTGGTCTTCCCGCCATTATCGTTCCGGCTGTTACTTCAGTAACGCCCCACAGCAACGTGACTTCATCCGCCAGGACAACTTTTTCCGGTTTGCGTTCGTAGTGCTTTTCAGTCACTGTAAATTTAATTTCTTCACATGTTCTCCAGTGGAAGGAGCTTGCCACCCACTCTCTGGTGTCGGTTGAGGTATTCAGTTGGTGCCAGCAAAAAACAACGAGTTATAATATGTCCAATTGAAGTCTTTGGTTTTCCACGACGCATTCTGCGGGCCACATCTGCAATTTCTTCCTTTAAAATCCGTCTTCTGGAACCTCTCGCGTTCAACGCTTCATCTTGGCCAACAGTTATTATCAAGCTTATTGTTTCAACTTTTAACCACCTTTAACCATCATCATCATCACTATTATTATTATTATTATTATTATTATTATTATTATTATTATTATCACCACCATCAATATCGTGTCATCATTTCTAATCATCATCCTCCTCCTCATCATTATCATCCCATCATCATCATCATCATCATCATCATTACCATCATCCTCATCGTCATCGTCATCTTACCAGACATGTGTAGACATCGTTCAACCTATATTCCAGGGTCAATGACTGGAGCAGCCTGTCCATGGATGAACGAACGCAAACGAATGCGCAGTTGTTGCAACAATTACTGCTCAGTTACCGCAGAACAAACAACATTCGCATCATTTCTTCGACCATAAAAAGGATGTACAGCTCGTCCCAGCGCACGCATCACGCACCCAGTCGGCAGGCACGCACAAGCACCGCATCACACGCACATAGCACGTGATGGTCATTCAGTTTCGGCAGACGGTATTCGAACCAGGTCATGGTGCAATAACAACGTCTTAAGAACATGGCTCTCTACCCACTGAGCTATCTCGCCAACCAAATTATATAAAGACAAATAAATAAAATAAAATAAAATAAGATCATCCTGTATAAAAAAAAACAAGAATGAAAGAAAAAATGAAAATATAGCAAGAGAGAGAGAGAGAGAGAGAGAAAGAGAGATGGAGAGAGAAAGAGAGACAAACGAACCTGAATAGATCTGAATGGTTGAACTTGCACGGATCGGCCTGTGCCATTTCTTCCAAACTGTGTTTCAAAGTTTTGTCTTGGTCTGAGGAAGATGGCGATGATGATGATGATGAAGATGATGGTGGTGGTGATGATGATGATGATGTGATGATGATGATGATGATGTGATGATGATGACGTTGATGATGATAGTAGTGTTGATTGTAATGATATCAAAAGTTTAACAACAAAAACAAAAATAATAATGATATCTATGATGAATGGTGTTGGGTGGTGGTTGAAACATCCAACGAAACCTACCGAGACAACAACAACAACAACAATAATGATAATAATAATAATATAAACAATATTGACAAGCAAGATAGCGTAGTTGAACCTTTGACGCTTCGCGAGCCAGCTAAGCAGTTGTTGCTACCAGCTACTTGCTGCTGTGCTGAGGT